ATGCTGTACAAGGCATGAATATGTCAAAAGACACGGACATACATAAGCATTACATCAAACACTTTGTTTAGAAGTTTGTCCGTGACAGCCCGGTATGGGCGGTACGTACCGGTCCGATAGGTTGTCGGTACGCGGACCGCCTGTTATCGGTTCGAGTGCACTGTAGCACTGTAGCAGTGCTACAGTACTCGGCACACCTGGGTGTACCGCTCGGTATACCGTACTGTACCGGTACCGAGCCCAAGTCGAAATATCGGTATGGTACGGTATTACGAACCTTGCCAAAAACTGCTCATATTTGTATTTCTGTATATTAAGAGAGGTAAGCTTATCTCTTGGGTTGAGACTTATACTGATTAAATCAATGTTTAAAATCTTGGTACTATGCTGGTTTTGACACCTTGTTGAATCAGTTACGTTACCATTACACCGGATGGAATACTGACTTGTATCATCTGGTATTACTGAAAAAAAACAATGAAAATGAAAATACCAATTGGTACCGAGCTATATAGTCCATTACCAATTTTTGGTTGGAGCCATAAATATCGGTTGGTATGTACCAGGGACTAATAGATACTGGCTAATATTAGAAGTCTGACCAGTATTTGGAATCTTAAATTGAATAATTCTCTGCTGCAGTGATTTATTGGACACATATGTGAGACAGCATAACCTATGACTCAAAAGGTTGGGGTTGTCAACCTTGTCATGCTTCGGACTTGGTAGCTTTGCAGTTTCATCGCTGTTGCTCTACTCTTAATTAGTCCATTAGACAGTTCTTATGAAACATGCATGATGAGTCTTACCTACATTTTTCTTATTGGTACTGATGAACTTCATTTAGTTGGACATAATGTTGCCTCATCTTTTTCTGATTAAATTAATTAGTTGCTAGAACTAATTCTTTGGATATCTAGTGGCTAAATGTTTACTTTTGCATAATTAGGGCCATCTTCTTTTATTGGAGAATTTCAAGGACTTACAACTAAACCATGGTGTGATGGAGGTTGGATATATTGATCATCAGGTTTTTACCTCGTCCACCAGGTCTTTTACTCCAGGAGCAGTTGAGGATGATGATAATTTGTCATCCATATCAATGACAGCCACTTTAGACGTCAAGAGGAATCTTCTACTAGGTAGCTGTCACAACTTTGACTTCTTCTAAACCCTTAAACAATAAGCATCTTACTTTAATGTGATTCCTTAATGTTCGAGTTTGTGCCCCATTCTGTTAATTCTCCTGAAGTTGTTGCTTTTCTCCATGGAGATTATAAAAGCACTTGCTGATGGAATTTGACTGCTGTATTCATCCACATAAAGTTGGCTAAGCTTGCCCATCAATATCAATGTTGATTATTACTGGCTTACACTCCCTTTCTTGGTCATTTCAGGGAGCAGTCGCCAATTTGTTGGATTCAGTAGAGAAATGGATGAATCTATTGTTAAACGGATATGGGATCGGGCCGGGGAGTTCTTTCCTGCTCTAAAGTCTCTTGATAATAAAATAGACAAGATACGAATAGGACACCGCCCTTATAGTAAGTCCAATTTTCTTCCTTGGTCTTGTGTAACATCTTGTGACATAATGCCTCGAAGGCCTATTTCCCGAAGAGCACTTGTAGCTAAAAAGCATTAACAAAAAATTACTTCTTTCAGTGCCTGATGGGAAGCCTGTCATTGGGCCAGTTCCTAGTTTACCAAATGTTTTTCTTGCGGCTGGGCACGAAGGAAGTGGTCTTTGCCTGGTAATTTTCATCAAACCACATATGGCATTTATTTTTGTGTTAAGGAGTATTTTACAAGTGTTTTTACCCTTTTTATTCACAAGATAATATACTATGATCCATATTATCTTGTTTATTTGAATTTTTCTGCTGTCCATTTTGCAATTCAGTTTTGGGACTCTGAAATACATGGTCATCACTGCCAAAGGAGTTAACTTACCGTGTGAAATTTAAGACGCTTAATTGAACACATTGAAAAGAAGGGTTCATCATGTCTTAATACTAGAACCTTCGCTGTAACAGTAGTCTTGAAGAACCGCTTGGAAGCAGCAGTTCTTATACATAATGTAGATATAGAAAGGCATGTATCCTGTGCTCGCTCATAAAATTATCTGGCAAAAATTGCAATCCAAATATATCCCAGAAGCCTTTCCCCAGGTGCAGAGTTAGAAATGCCTCTGCAGTGGCTAGTGTTCAAGAACTTGAATGTTTTGAAATCTATAAGCTGGCTTCTGATTCATGACTGTCAAACAATTGAGAGTTAAAGTAATTAAGGCATCTCGTAACTGGTAATTAAAGTAACTAGGGGATCCTATAACAGTCTCATTTTCTTCCCTAACTTCAGTCATAATTGTGTTATGACCCATTATGCGAACATTTCAAATTGGTAAGTGGCTTATGCTGAATTTTCTTTTATTTATTAATAATTTTGATGAGCTCGGTCTGCTTTCAGAAACTGTGTAGCCGAATAGTAGAAGCTTTTGTTTTCTGTGTCGGACCCCAGGTCTTTTTCAACATTTTGGGGTGAATTTTGGCATATCTTTTTTCCTCTATGTCATGATGGTTTACTTTGCTTCAAGTTTTTTATCTGTTTACCGTCTGTGCTACATTAATGTTATTTGGCGCAACTGTTAAAAGATGGCATTTGACTTGTTAGTTAGGTTTCCATATCAATGTTTATACCCCGATGATCGAAAGAAAATGCTGATTGGTACTGGGTTTTCATCATTATTCTTTTAGGCATTGGGCACTGCAGAAATGGTTGCTGATATGATACTAGGGAACCCGATAACAATAGATCATACACCATACAGTGTGGAAGGCAGATTCTGCTGATATTTTATTAGCTGCCAATGAATCCTTTATCATAGCTAATAAGGCTGGCAGATTTTGCTGATAGCTGCTTACACACTCCCAAAATCTTATTTGCTGAATTGATAAGGTGCAATTTATCAACTTAATTAAATCTGCTCATTCTTGAAAACTTGCTTGTAATAATAAATGAAGGGTCACAATATCAGCAGAAGCATGTTTCATGTCTGATGTTTCAAAAAACTGTATATTATGGTTGTTTCTGGTAGGACTTTGTACAACTTTCATGATCATATTTCCCATCAAGAATCTGCTTTTGATTACAAGAGGGGATTGTTTTGAGTACATATCAAAGACAAAGACTGCTCAACCAAGATGAATGGGTTTTGAACTCTGTATTTGCCGAAGCCTTTGATTCGACATTTAATTTTCTGCAAGCTACGGCAGTATGTCTATTGCGGAAGATTAGGGAATAATGAAACCAAGATTTGCTCATCTGAAGGCTCTACAAAGGGAGGTGTGAACATGGCCAGTCAAGTCTGTTCTGAGCCACGATATGATGCGCGCAATTTGTACAGAATAAAGAAAGTCGACTCAGATTTGTTTACATCACAAGGGTTAGTGTCTGAAAATGATCATGCTATATGGTCCATTTTGTTGGTGGTTGACTGTGAGCACTAATCTACTGAATCATCACAAATGTTCCAGGTATCAGGATGTCACTGGATATGTGCAGTGCCATGTGAGTAGTAATGTTACTGGGGATGACACCAGCTCATGTGAATCAAGTTTGAATCGTTTCTCCAATGATTGATGTTCAGTATGTATCCGTAAGAGTGTCAGATGAAGTGAATTCCAAGCACCAATACATTCACTGTATCTTGTAACATTTTGGTATGGAGCAAGATCTTCCACCTGCATTTGGTTAGCTTCTAGTTGAAGTGACTTGCATGGTGATCAAGTGCCATTCCTAGGCTTAAACAACTTGCTCTCATGGCTATCTTATTGGAGTGGTTCATGCATGACTCACATTTGCTGCAATCCAGCTCTGACAGTGTCTCATGTGAAATATTCTAAATCATGTTAGCATTCTGAAGCCAGAGGATGTTGTTTGGGATAAAAGAGGAAATAATTGCAGATCTCAGTTCACAATCTGATGTCTAAGATTTGCATGCATGCTTGCCATTGAATGATTTTGCCATATTTGCCACGGGGGAAACTTGACCTGAGCTAATCTCACTACTCCCAAATTTCTCATCTCATCCAGTGAGCTATCAAATTATTACTAGAGAACACTGCTCGCCAAATGCACCATCAAATTATTCACAAGCTTCATAAAAAAGAAATTTCATCGAAAATTTTGCTCTCAATTGCCACTCTATTTCTACCTTGATGGTTGAGGAAATATAGGGGGGGAATAGTGACACATAATTGCATCACATAGGTCAGTCTTCAGACTGCATTAACACACGCATAATATTGGAATAACTTCATAGAGAATCAAGATAAACAAATAAACACATAATATTTGTTTTGTTGGAGTCCATCCGTTCATAGTCATTGGACTTTTTGCTGCACTAAGTAATCCTCTCATCCCGAAGCTAAAGCCAATCTCTCACCAGATAGATAGCAGGCAGAGGGAGTCCATTTCTGTCTATTCTACGGCACCTGCTGCATGAACGGAAGAACTAACAAAAATAGACACCATCTGAACCTGCAAGCACGAAGCCTTTTGCGTGCAGACCATCACCGTTGCCGTCCACGGCGAGGAGATGCTGCGTGGGGAAGCAGCAGTAGTCTGGGAGCAGCTGCGCGGTTCTGCTGCTCTCCACTGCTTCGATGACCATCACCACCACGTAAACCAACCCCACGGCGGCGATCCCCATCACCAGGCACGCCTCCTGTGTTGGACTAACCATGACCATCCACAGACAGAGGAAGAAGGAGATGACACTACGACTCATGGATGGAAAAGGAGGATTGATAGGCGTACCGCATATATATGAAGCGGAGGGAGAGTTGTGTGGTGCATCGAATTCAGGGGAGGGGGTTCGTGTAGGACTGGAACTGCTGGCTGTGGCGATCGCGTTCGATGGATGATGCTGAGGATGGGGACAGAATCCACCATGCACAGTGACCGGGTTCATGGGATGGGATGGGAAAGAATGCTGAAGCTGCAAGGCTCGATATGATTTGATATGATGCCTCACCGATTCGATTCGATTCGATTCAATGAACCTAAATTGTTCCTAAACCTTCACGTGCTCAATATCCAACGTGACATATTGACGTGGGGTTTTCCTGTCTCGGCTGCGGGGATGATGTCGCGGTCGGACGCGGATGGGATTAGCACTCAGATTCCATGTGTTTATTATAGATCTGAAATGAAAATCTTATCTGAGTTTGAGAATATTAACGGATGTAAAATGATTAGCACTTGAATTTCGTGAGTTTATATTATGGATCCGAAATGAGAATCTTATCATGTTTAAGAACAACATTTGCAAAATCTCTAGTACATGGATTTCATGAGTTTATTATAGATCCAAAAAGAGAATCTTATTGGGTTTGAGAACATTAACGGATGCAACATGATTAGCACTCGGATTCCATAAACTATCCTGATGACATATTTTGAGTCCTAGTCACGTTGCAACCAACGTGCACCACACCCTCACCAAGTCAGCATGAGGAGTACTTCCACGCGCTAAACAAGGTCCGTACTAAGGTGTTCCTCGGCACATCCCATCCCGGAAAGCTTGGGGCGACGTCGTATGGCCCTGTTCCGTGCATTTCGGGATAGCGGTCGCACGAAGGTACCACCTTGCCTCTCGAGGATCGATCGTCATGCCAAACCCGTGTACGGTCGACCCTTGTATAGTAGTATAAAAACCCTTGACTGACATCTAGCCAGTGGGAGGCAAAAAAAGAGTGAAGAAGAACAATCGCTAACTTAGTCGTCGAGGGACCAAAGTCGGGAACCACCCGACGAGGGCCTTGTGTACAGGAGCGCGGCCACCTTCAGATGTTCGACAGCCCCGACCGAGAGACGTACTCCCCGAAGACGATGTTAGCATCCCAACCGAGAAGCACCCCCCCTTAGACAGCATCTGCACCCTAACCTGCGGACAAGATCAATCCCGGCGCCTAACCCCCCCCCCCCGATCGCGAGCTCCCGACATCGACCCATGGATCAGGCTGTGCTGACTCATCAGCCACGGTACATAAGTTCACCAACAGATCTGAAATGAGAATATCGTTGGGTTTGAGAATATGCATTGGACTTCGGATCGGGTTTGGGATGTTATCGAGCTCCTTTTAGATCGATGATTAATTGATCATCACTGAAACATAATGTTATGATGGTAGTTGCACTATGTAGTAATCTAAACATTTGTATGTATACTTGCATTATTTATAGGAAGATGATAAAGAAAAAAAACTTGTATCTATTCTAATGATGGCTTGGCCATCTTTGCCTCTTTCTCTCTGTCATCGTCAACTCTGCTCCCTAACCCTACTTTTTTCTTTTCTCTCCACCTCTCTCATCATTATTCAATTGTCCACCAACGATCGTTTCGTTCCCCTATGTCGAGGTTGACGATCACTGCATAAGGATGACTTGACGATTGATTGATATAACACAAGGTAATGAGGCTAAAGGTAGTGCTCATACATAATCTCTTATCTTTTAGAAAATAAAAGTCACTGTACGAGAATAAAATAAAAAGAGAGTATTACGTGAAAAAAAAAAATGAAAACTCGGGTTTTTTACTCCTTTTTCGAAAAATGTGCCCAATTATATTTTACAATTTTAATGATGTAATAACATGATTATCGTAATAGCCCTTATAGCTCAGTGGTAGAGCGTCAGTCTTGTAAACTGAAGGTCCGTAGTTCGATCCTGCGTGAGGGCAATGCAATTAATTGTCTTAATTTTACAGGATTATTTTTCAGACAAACTAATATTTTAATAATTAATCAATAATGTAAAGTTTTCCAATTAGAACATCTTTTAATAAATTGTCATATTTTACAGGATTATTTTTCAAACAAACTAATATTTTAATAATTTAATAATTAATCAATAATGTAGAATTTTCCAATTAGAACATCGTTTAATAAATTGTCTTATTTTACAGGATTATTTTTCAAACAAACTAATATTTTAATAATTTAATAATTAGTTTAACGAAATAATTAGTCTGAATCATTAATTTAAAATATTCACAGCCAAGATTAAGAAGAACGCATGTCATGTGGCTGCAGCATCCATACTCAACAACTGCATTCCATGTATGTAACATTGAGCACCCATTCCATTCCATTCCAGTCCATGCTGTTTCATGCCAATGCCACCGACGCTGCAACGTTAACCTTCCATGACGTACTAAAAATGTAATATACCTTTCGATGTGATTCATATTGGTTGGCAAACTTCCTTGTAAGTAATACGACGTTACCGAGAAAGACATGAAAGAGCCAGCCATCATCCATCGATCAACGAGAACCAATGTTCCACATATGTTTCATTCCTATCGACATACAATGAAAGAGCATCACACATCTGATAGATGTTGTTGGATCATCTCTAATCCCACCTGTCCCAAGTTGACAATAATTCGATGAGGATTACTACTTATTTCAAGCATCGGTTTCCTATGATCTGACCCACAGCGGATGCAAATCCACTTTCTGTGGAGTGCTCACGAGACAGCAGCGAACAACAGCTTTCGATCGAAGAAGCAAAACGAGATAAATTAGACAGAAACCAGAAGATCACATGAAAGATCGAAGCTGTTGATATTGGGATTGTGAAGTTTTAAATTTTCTAGACTAATTTTCTAGTTTGTAATGAGAAAGAATTGAATGATTATGTATCATGGAATCTGAGTCGCCCTGTATGGAGATGCATCAAGATGCATCAAGATGTCGACGGAACCGACGAGGACGAGATGGACGATCACAGGGCATGGAGATGTACCGTTGCACACATAGATCTTGATGTGAGTGATTAGGCCTACTGGCTCGGGCCTAATCATATTAGGTTGTGGTCCATGATCATCTGGTGTGATTGCTTATACACATACTAGATAAGTATATATATTTGCATGCGATGTAGATATATATTAAATATGTATATGTGTGACATGTCATATTAGGAGACGAAATCTTAGAAACATCTCTCGATAATATTAAGTCGGTAAACGTGAGGTAATTAGATTGACCCACATGGCCTTCCATCGTTATAAGTAGGAACCGATTCCCGGTGTAGGTTGAGTTGGTCGAGTCCCTCGAGACTCACCTATATCGCGATTCGCTATCTTGCTTACGACATAGAGATGTCACCGG